CCTCTCACCGCACCTCTTACTGCACATCTCACTGCACATCTCACTGCATCACTCACTGCACATCTCACTGCACCTCTCACTGAATCTCTCACTGCACCTCTCACTGCATCACTCACTGCACATCTCACTGCACCTCTCACTGAATCTCTCACTGCACCTCTCACTGCATCTCTCACTGCACCTCTCACTGCATCACTCACTGCACCTCTCACTGCATCTCTCACTGCATCACTCACTGCACCTCTCACTGCACCTCTCACTGCACATCTCACTGCATCTCTCACCGCATCTCTCACCGCATCTCTCACTGCATCACTCACTGCACCTCTCACTGCATCTCTCACTGCACATCTCACTGCATCACTCACTGCACATCTCACTGCACCTCTCACTGAATCTCTCACTGCACCTCTCACTGCATCTCTCACTGCACCTCTCACTGCATCACTCACTGCACCTCTCACTGCACCTCTCACTGCATCTCTCACTGCACCTCTCACTGCACCTCTCACTGCATCTCTCACTGCACCTCTCACTGCACCTCTCACTGCATCTCTCACTGCACCTCTCACTGCACCTCTCACTGCTCCTCTCACTGCATCTCTCACTGCATCTCTCACTGCACCTCTCACCGCATCTCTCACCGCATCTCTCACCGCATCTCTCACCGCATCTCTCACCGCACCTCTCACCGCACCTCTCACTGCACCTCTCACTGCACCTCTCACTGCATCTCTCACTGCACATCTCACTGCATCTCTCACTGCACATCTCACTGCACATCTCACTGCATCACTCACTGCACATCTCACTGCATCTCTCACTGCATCTCTCACTGCACATCTCACTGCATCTCTCACTGCATCTCTCACTGCACCTCTCACTGCACCTCTCACTGCATCTCTCACTGCACCTCTCACTGCACCTCTCACTGCACCTCTCACTGCATCTCTCACTGCACCTCTCACTGCACATCTCACTGCATCTCTCACTGCACATCTCACTGCACCTCTCACTGCATCTCTCACTGCACATCTCACTGCATCTCTCACTGCACCTCTCACTGCACATCTCACTGCATCACTCACTGCACCTCTCACTGCACCTCTCACTGCACCTCTCACTGCATCTCTCACTGCACCTCTCACTGCACATCTCACTGCATCTCTCACTGCACATCTCACTGCACCTCTCACTGCATCTCTCACTGCACATCTCACTGCATCTCTCACTGCATCTCTCACTGCACCTCTCACTGCATCTCTTACTGCATCTCTCACTGCACCTCTCACTGCACCTCTCACTGCATCTCTCACTGCATCTCTCACTGCATCTCTCACTGCTCCTCTCACTGCACATCTCACTGCACATCTCACTGCACATCTCACCGCACCTCTCACTGCATCTCTCACTGCTCCTGCTCTTCTCCCTGGGCCCCTTGCTCTTACTCTTCCTCGTCCAGACATTACAGTGTTTGTCTTTTTCTGTTTCTGTTTTCAAAAACATCACTCCTCAAAGTCCTAATTTTACTGTATAAGTGTCAATGTAATAGAAAAAAATTGGGTAATTTTGGGTCGGCCCAATTTACCCAACATAAATCAGCTGTGTGTCAATTATTCAATTGTTTGTTTATTATTTTGCTGAGATATATTGTTTTTGAACTGATATCATTGCAGGAGCAGAGGTTTTTATACTGTATCTAAGGTTTGGAATATTGTTTTTGCTATTGTGGGATGGTGTGTGTTAACATTCGCAAATACTACAAAAACAATCCATAATTTTGTTCGGAGGTATAACTTGTCTGTTAAGAAAATGTAAGCATTGTGGAAATGCGTTCACTGACTGCATATTGTGTGAAAACGACATGAAATGTGTGAATGGTATGGCCACAATATACCGATGCTGTGCTAATTGTGTTTAGAGTTTTGAAAATGTGACTACTGGTTGGACAAACGCTTGTTAGCGACTGAAAAAAACTGTAATATGTATATAAATCCCACACACCACAATTCAGGCACTGCATATCTACTCTCACTCTCAGTGCAATAAGGCCAGCACTCACCCAATGATCAATCCTTCCACTGTTGCGCTGAATCAGTTCTCATCAGAGGGCGAAGAGATGTAGATGACTTCTCACGGGCACGGGGAACAAGCGTCTTCAATGCCCTCTCACATTCAGTGAGAGGGTATTGAAGTCAAGGATGACTCGATCCAAACAATCTCCAGTGACAGTTACAATCGCGATCAATACACTTCACAACTTTATATCCAGCTCGATCAGAGCATACCTTCACATAGATCCGATGTCATACTACTTATCTCCCTTTCAATGATGATGGCGTTTTCCGGTCTTGACTCGATCTCCACAATTCACTCACTTCGCATCCTTAGACGTTTTCTTAATGTTACACCCTCAATTCAGCCGAATCCTCACGATATTCCCCCGATATCTCCGCGAATCAGCGTCACTGCAAAAGAAACGATTTCTCCCGGGGGAGCACCACACTCGACTGCCGCTTCCCTCTCCTTTTATACACTCCATTTGTCTGCATAGCCCTATCGCAGATCCCCGCGTAAATCCTCCACACCTGATGCTGATCTGTCATCAGCCGCCGCTGCCATGGCGACAGATACACAACCGGAACCGGCTCGGTGTTTCAGTAAGGCCGTTCAGGGGGGAACACAATTTCAGCGGGACTTAGTTCCACTTCGTCACCTCGTGACACATGCTCAGAGAGAGAAGAAGAATAGACCAGAATGTCGTCAATATTAATCAGCACAAATTTAGACAAATAGACAAATTTCATTCATTAAACCCTGGAACACTGAAGGCGTGTTCGCCGGGCCATACGGCATCACCCGATATGCGTAGTGCCCTGATGGCGTTATCAGCGGTGTTTTCCATTCGTCCCCGCAACATCTCAAGGGCAGCAGGAGCCAGAGGAGCCAGAGGAAGGGGATAGCGCTGCTTTACCGTGGTGTCGTTAAGCGTTTGCTAATCAATACATGGACGTAATCCCCCCGTTTTTGGCCAGAAAGAAAAAAACTTGAGGCTGCTGGAGAAGTGGACGGGTGGATGAAAACTGAAGGCGGAGGCATGACAGTACCATGAGAAAAGTAGAAATGTTGCAGATGTTTAAGATTGAACGCAGCAGTGTGTAAGTGGCTCGAACAGAATCAGATCTTATGACCCATGTACGTGCCATATGGTGTCAAAACTGGCTTTTGTTAAATTATTGTAACGTTTTTAATGATGTGTTTAGTTTTGGATCTGAGGTGATCTGCTACTGTGTGGATGTGTGGATTGTGTTTTGTTTTGACTACACAAGCCTTGTTTTTGTAATGGCATCACATGGTGGTGGAAAAATACACTTTCCTGTAGCTCAAAGTGTAGAGTGTTGGCGCTTGCAACGCCAAGGTCGTGGGTTCGATTCCCAGGGAACGCAAGAACTGATACGATTGTAAAAAAAATTTGTACCTTGAAATGCAATGTAAGTCGCTTTGGATTAAGAGGAACTGAGGAACTTTGCATTCGCTCCCTATCTCCTGCATTTTTTGTGAGGGAACGTAAAGCATTGACATTATGTAAAGGTTGACATGTACATTTCTGCACATGAAGTGGCCTGAGCTGAGGCAGACAGGAGAGCACAGAGGACTGGAGAGAACAGATAATCTTGGGCAGCGAGTGAACGAGAGCAAAGATAGCAGGCTATATTTAAAAGCATCTGCTGTGTGTTGAGGGAAGAGATGCTCCTCTGCAGGATAAGGAGAGCTGGACCGGGCCGATAATGAACTGCAGTCTGCTTTGATAAAGAAGTGGACAAAGTGAACGAGGAGATAAAGTACAAAACACACATTGGCTCACATTCACATAAAATCCCAACATTTTGTTGTGTCCAAAGAGGGCTGTGTACGCATGCACAACATGTATGAGTGTGAGCAAGTGAGGTTCAAAAGGGCAAGCCAGTTCACATCCAACGCTCTTACAAGACATTCATCTCTTCAAAGACTATTTCTGTCACCAAAGCTTTAGACCATTCAGTATTCTTAGATGTGCGTCAATACTGTTTATTCCTACTGTGTGTGTGTGTGTGTGTGTGTGTGTGTGAGTGAGAGAGAGAGAGAGAGAGAGAGAGAGAGAGAGAGAGAGAAAGTGTGTGTTTGTTTGAGTGAGTGTGTGTGTGTATGTGTGAGAATGTGTGTGCTTGAGTGGTTATGAGTGTGTGTGTGTGTGTGTGTGTGTGTGTGTGCGTGAGTGCGTGTGTGTGTGTGTGTGTGTGTGTGTGTGTGTGTGTGTGTGTGAGAATGTGTGTGCGTGAGTGTTTATGAGTGTGTGTGTGTGCGTGTGTGTGTGTGTGTGTGTGTGTGTGAGTGTGTGTGTGTGTGTGTGTGTGTGTGTGAGTGTGTGTGTGTGTGTGTGTGTGTGTGTGTGTGTGAGAATGTGTGTGCGTGAGTGTTTATGAGTGTGTGTGTGTGTGCGTGTGTGTGTGTGTGTGTGTGTGTGTGTGTGTGTGTGTGTGTGTGTGTGTGTGTGTGTGTGTGTGTGTGTGAGAATGTGTGTGTGCGCGTGAGTGTTTATGAGTGTGTGTGTGTGCGTGTGTGTGTGTGTGTGTGTGTGTGTGTGTGTGTGTGAGAACGTGTGTGTGCGTGAGTGTTTATGAGTGTGTGTGTGTGTGTGTGTGTGTGTGTGTGTGTGTGTGTGTGTGTGTGTGTGTGTGTGTGTGTGTGAGAATGTGTGTGTGCGTGAGTGTTTATGAGTGTGTGTGTGTGTGTGTGTGTGTGTGTGTGTGTAATGTTGTGTTCTCCTCACCAGCACTAACAGCTGCTCAGTGGTTGTGTTTGAGCCAGTGTTACACTATTTCTGGAGCGCAACTTGTTTAAAAGGTCAGATAGAGACAGAAGGAGAGAGAGGTGGGGGATAGAGAGAAAAGGAAGAAGGGAGGAGACCAAGGAAAGCAGAAGAAAGACAGAGAGGTGAAGGAGGGAGAAGACCGTGTTGCGATTACTGTAGATCAGTGAAGACTCTGGAGGAATGGAGGATTCAGAGCATGTGGCCGTGAGCAGTGAGACAGAGGCGATGACTGAGCAGGTAACGTGTGTTTCTCTCTCTATTCCAGTGTGTGTTCTCTCTCACTGTCTGCTCACGTTAACCCTCGAGTCCTGAGACCCCAACGCCCTTTAACATCTCAAAAACTGCCTTAACGCTGCACCAGGTTCACACAATCACAAATAATACGGTATGTTAATTTAGTTTGGGTTATTATCAGAGACCCCAGATATAAAACATTGATAAATGCAATGAATTTCCACAGGCAAAGATGTGACTGTTACCCAGGACATTCTCAGGACTTTAGCTTACGCTGCAGGCTCTCTCATGACCAAACATTCTTCCAGTAATGTTAATATAACATTCACTCAAAGTTATCTGGTCTTTAATAATGTTCTCAAATCATTAGCACTAAAACATTATCAGTACATCATTCATGTTTTTACCTGAAATGTTTTAGTTTGAGGTTTGTCTGATGTTTTGTAATGTACCTACGTGTTTCAGAACGTACAAAAGTAACGTTTCCATAATGTTTTAAGATTAATTTAAAAAATGGAATGTTGCCTTAATGTTTGCAAAACCAAGAAAAACATTTAATAAACTGGATGTTTTTGAACATTCTGAGAACATTCAGAAATAACATTTTCTTAACAACTTAATAGGAACTTTAACAAAACTTTCTTAGAATATATGTTTGTTAGCTATAGGTCCAGATGCATTCCAGGTGTCTATTTCATTTTCATTTCTTACACTATAAGTGTTTAATGTGTTACGCTGGGGTCGAACTGACCACCATAGCAGGTCTGTGTCAGAGACATCAGATTTCTGGAATATGCAACAAAGGGTTAAAACTTATATAATATCTGTCAAATGAATTTGGAATAATTCAGTGGAACATATTAAACAAATTTGAAAGATAACAAGAGGTTATTTTGGATGTACTACAATAGATTTTTCTCTGGGACCCCAAACATAAAACCGATAAAGTCAGTCAAAGTTACAATAAAATACATACAAACTCACAGTACAGTGTGTCACTCACACACACACACACACACAGGCTCTCTCTCGCAGTCTGAAGGTGTATGTTCAGTGTTTCCACATATGATTATTAATGGCAATATTATGTAATTATTATCATGTTGTAATACGATATGAACACATTTATTCATGCTCACACACACCCACACACACACACACACACACCTGCTCATTCAGTGGAATGCTCTTTATACAACTGGTGAGTCATGACCTCATGTGACACCTGGGACAGCTAAGCTAAACACACACACACACACACACATTCACACATGCAGGCACACACACGTCACAAGAGGACAGATGAAATAAATAAACTTGCACTATTTATAATACAAAACAGCATAGAATAGTGCATAAGTACGCAAATTATGCTATAATATATGCTATATGTTGCTAGTAGGCTAACAATTTACAAACCGCGCATACATTAATTATGTAGGATTTCTAATCAGTAATCCAGTCAATAATCACCGGTAAACGCTTCTCTCTGCCAGTTGACTCACTCTGAGCAATGACATTCAGTGTGACTTGATTACTGTGAGATTAGAATTAAAAGTGGGTGCACTTTTAGAGGTTTGTCCTATTAAACTTATGGTTAAGGGATAGGATTTAATAGTTAGGTTTAGGTTGTACACTTTTGTACTTCCAAACTTATACAAATTCTCAAATTCACCTTGATAAATGTTGCATTACTTGAGTTTGGGGTACTCAGATATAAAATATAAATGCAATGAATTTTCACATGATATAATTGGCTGGTGTACACACAGTAGAGATACACTGAGTGGTAATTTTGTGCTTTGGTGTCATTCAGTGTGTTGAAGCTGACTCCGAGCCAGGAGGCGGGGCTGAGACGACAGAGGGCGGAGCTAATGAGGACAACACAGAAAACCAGGAGAACACAGGAGCTGGAGCCAATGAGAGTGAGGCATGTGAGCGCGAGGGCGGAGCTAATGAGGACAACGCAGAAAACCAGGAGAACACAGGGGGTGGAGCCAATGAGAGTGAGGCATGTGAGCGCGAGGGCGGAGTCACAGAGCAGGCCAACACAGTGGAGGAGGAAGAGAATAAAGAGACGGACATCACACCACATAAAGCTGGAGAACAAGAAAAAGACACAGAGGTAAATAAAAATAAAGAAAGTGAGGCAGAAGAAGAAGGAAAGGAGAGCAATAATGACCCTCACAAGAAAGATAATGATTCCTGCGATAATGAAGGACAGCTTGAGGAAAAGCACAAAGAAGAGGAGAAGAGGACAAAAGAAACTGAAGGAAAAACTAAAACGAAGGAAGATGAACGAGATACAAAAGAGAAAAAAGAGACTAAAGATGATGTCAAAATCAAACCAGAAAATCTAGGAAGAAAAAGCACGAAATCCTCCGTCTGTTCCCGATCGGCCCGACCCTCGACCCGAAGAGACGCCATGGCCAAGTTTCAGAAGGACCAGTGAGTCACCTTATTATCATCCTCCTCATGATCATATCTTTCTTCATCATTCTGATAAACCTCATAAAGTCCCCCGTCACAAATACCATGTGCCTAAAAGTGTTGATCACCCACACAATAGTTATATTTATTGTATGTAAACATCTCAGGGCTGTGTTTAAAACCCGGTTCCATGAGAATGTAAACGAGACGCCTCATCACGCTGTGTCATGTGTAGTACATGCCTTGGCTTATGACGAAGCAGGTGATGCCATGACGAGTGCGATCACATCTATAAATAATATCTGTGCGAGATCGGCAACGGCAAATTGTCTGAAGAAACCGCGCAGGCATGATCGAAGTATGGCGACGCGACGCGGTGCCTCATTCCCATTCTCAGGGAACCAGGTTATATACACACCCCTGAGGCGTTCCTTTACGAGGAACATCCGCACCGCGTCATGGTGTTGAGGCACATGGGCATGACAATACCTACACTGCCATAGTGAGAGGATGCCCTCACACAGGCTGTGGAAAGTGGCAAACGCACTGTAGTACAGGTATTGAGTCGGGGCAGAAACCCAGCAAACGCTACTCCCGTGATCACTGGAGGCTGAACAGTAGAGTCCTGCGCGGGACTGTTTTCTTCATCCCGCTCCCACCCGCGCCCGCCGAATTTCTGACCATTACCGCCCGCGTATGTGTTACACTTCCGCCCGCTCCCGCAAAGCTCTGAGAATTTATTCCCGCTCAATAATAGAGATGCATTGATTTTGTGTCTTCTCCCGTCCCGCAGGAAAAAAAACACGCATTTGTATTGCTATTAGGGATGGCCCGATACCATTTTTTTTCAAACCGATACGAGTACGAGTATTTACATTTGTGTACTTGCCGATACCGAGTACCGATACCGATATTTCTACCGCAAAAGTAATAGGCTCCCAGAAAAGAATTCGACTATTTTAGAACACAGGTTAGAAGATTGTTTTTATTTTCTTCTGCTTGTTTTAACAAGTCTAAAAATAAATAAAAATTAGTAAAAAAATAAATGTATTAACACACAAACCACTGTTAATTTAACATAAAAGCATGCAGGCTACTGCGTGCATGGTCTGGCATGACTGAATGCGCGCAAAGTGCGCTCCCTTAATAAATCCTAAAAGCTGACAGTTCCTCGCGATCTCACACAACTCTGTTATTATCAATGAAGCTGACTGCACAATCAATCTTTCATAATATCCACACTTTGTTTGTTATAATTAGAGGATTTGCCAGAGTACAGAATTCAGCACTGAACAAAAAAGTCCGTTTTGAGCGGTGAGGGGAGTCTATCTTAAATGCTTCTGATTGGCCATTGCGTTCAAGAAATCAACACATATGTCTGTGATTGGCTACATCGCTCAACGCTGTAACCATGTTATGAATAGAAACTCTGGCCTGTAAATCGTTTCTATTTTGTTGTAGTTGTTCTTGTTGCTTTTCTGCAAGAGATGAATAAAAATCTTTTAGTTTTTATGTTTTATTCATAGATATTTCTAGTTTGCGGGAGTCCCGCGAATCGTTTTATTCTCCCGTAACCCGCACACACAGAGTGAGTGCATTACCGCCCGCGCGCGCGCTCGGCCATCAGATCTATGATTCGTCTTCAGATGTTTAATTAGATTGCTGGTGTTAAACGATGTACTTTCTTTCCCTCCTCTCGACACCTTAGCTGAACATAACTCACAGGATGCCTTGCTGTTGTCATCACCCCTTATCTTGAAATGAGCCCAAACCGCCGACATTATACTTTCCTATGCCTCAGTTCACCTCGACAAAGCACTCGCGGCGGCCAGTTTCGTTTTGCAAAATGTACGCGGTATCGGTGCGTGGTATCGACGAATTTTTATGAGTACGAGTACGAGTATATTAGGACAGTATCGGCCCGATCCCCGATGCCAGTATCGGTATCGGGCCATCCCTAATTGCTATTATTAAAGAGATTCATGGGGTTGTTTGTTTCGTTTCCCTGGCCTGCATGTATTCTGACGCACTGATCAGGAAGATGATATTAGCCTGGCTAGGCTATCGGGGACATCTAAAACGCTTAGGCTACCGCTTGTTTTTTTTTAGCCGCCCATTCCCGCCCGCAGCAAAGTTCAAACCGCCCGCTCCCGCGAGATTTGCGTTGGGTCCCGCGGGACCCGGCGGGACTCAATCCCAATGCAGCCCTCTACTGAACAGTTCCAGGAAGGGAATGAGGGAGAGAAGTGGCTGTTAGATGTATAGGAACCACTCTCCCCCCTGTAGGGGGCGTCTGACGTCAGGACCTCTTCTTCTTCAGTCAATCGTGAGGTCAGGTCTGCCCCCTGCAGGCTGGGACTCTACGAGTTGGGACGCGGGAAAAACTGCCGGAACGCCTCAGATTGTTTCTTCGCCGCCTGAAATCTGTCAACGACTATAGTGACAGCGTTGTCAAACAGGCCAGATGGAGAGACCGGGGCGTCCAGCAGAAACAATCTTACTTTGTCCTTAATTCCCGATTGATCATTCCCGAGAGGTTGAGCCACAGATGCCTGTCCGTAGCAGCCATAGATCGGCCGATGGCATGGGTTTGTCTGTTTAGTGACGCGGAGAGATGCCTTATGGAGGTCTTTACCTGCCTCGAGGTCAAGGCCCCCGCTGGTGTCCCGGTCTCTGCACTGCACGGGGTGTAAAATCCATATCCTTTGGATGTAGTGATAATTCGACTTATAAAAACATATCAAGCCAAGGCACTCGAGAGTTTAAGTAAATGTACTGTTTATAAAAAGCCTTTATTTGATCATGGCTTAGGCAATTAAAAAACATTTTCTATTAACCGCACACAGACACGTTGCGGCTAATGAGCTTTCATCAGGTGTGGGTTCTCTCTTGTTACTACTTTATTCATTCAGGCGTCTCTTCCACCCAAGGCATCGACTTATACCCATGGTCATTGAGCCCAACAATACTCGAATAATCCGACGTCATTTGGGTTATGAACACGGGAGGAATAAGTGACTTTTCATGACTTCAAGATCTCACTGGGGAGATCGGGAAAGAAGGGGAGGTTATGTTTGGGTGGCCGATCGCTAGTAAGGAAGCACTCCTCCAATTTACTACGAGACGCTTCCCTCCTCTGATCGGGCCAGTCGGTGTTTAAGGTAGCCACCCCACGAGTGTCGACCTCTGGGAGCTCCTCATGTGACTTAGAGGAAGATGGTGACTGCCCGCTGGTCGCACTCGATTCGTATCATCTCTCAATGTGTAGTTACTTGAAACTAGATCCCCCTGAGAGCAGATCCTCGTCCAGAGCGGAAGAAATCCCAGAGCGAGCTTCCAACTCCTGAACGGGACCCTCTGAGTCTGTAGATAAAGCGAGAGATAGAGCGGCACCCGTCTCATGCTCCTCTGACAGCTCCATCTGCGAGCCCCAATACAAGGGACCAGAAGCACGAGGTGCAGATATAAAATCCCCTTCATCGGCAAAGAGGGCGAGGCGGGAGCGAAGCTGATCGAGTGTGCTGTGCTCCGAGACCGAGAACACACAACTCCAGTGTGTCCAGTGATACAGTGGGGCACGGCAAAACACATCTCCTAAACTTAGACTTTGTTTTTCCACCCCTTTTCTAAAACAGACAACAAATGTACACACAGTGACAAACCAATGCTTCTGAAGACAAGCTGGTGACGCTCTTGCGCAGATGTTATTTGCAGATGTGATTACGCACGTCACCTGACTTCAGCATAAGCCAATAGCTTGGCGTGTTCTCCACGTGACTCGGACACCGGCTCACACTGAAGCGTTCACATTTGCGTCAACAGCATGACGTGGCGTCTATGTTCCCTCGAAACGGAACTTCCATTATTAGCAATGAATTGAGTTTGTCGAACAGGTGCATTTGTTCAGTCAGTCAGTCAGTCACCTTTATTTTTATAACGCTTTATACAATACAGATTATTTCAAAGCAGCTTTACAGGGATAAACAGGAAAATAACCGAATCAATGATGCAAACAGAGTTCAGTTTGTCTGAAAGCAGCTCTAGAAAGAAGTGTCCTTGCTCAGCTGAAGTCAGCTCAGCGTTGTCAGTGTTGTTCAGTATATCTCTCTGTCTTTAATCTGAATAGTATATGTTGGCTTGTTGTAGGACTCAGGGTGTCCGAAACTTTAAAGTTCAACGGACATCTATAGGCATGGCGGGTGGAGCATCAATCAAACAGAAAATACTCAATTGGTGCAGGAACAAAACACAGAAATATGAGGTAAGCTAAAGCTCAAACGTCTTTGTAAACATTCACTCTTAAAAACAGCCAATCAGGACCATCACAGCTTTTACAGTCTGACATTTAAATAAACCAAAGAACAATAACTATGTTTCCATCCAAAGTTGTGAATTTAGCTTATGTGCAAAATGCATTATATGACAATGGAATATGGCATAAAAGACTTGTGAATAAAGCAGCGTTTCCATCGCATGTGTTCAAGAGAACAACATCATCACTTCCTGGTGCAGAATATCAGAAATAAACTGTGAGTTTCTGCAATCGGCTGTTTTCCCTCCATCATAAACGAGTGTGTGTCGAGCGTCATCATAACGAGTGTGTGTCGAGCGTCATCATAAACGAGTGTGTGTCGAGCGTCAGACGAAACACGTTCGAATGCTGGTGTTCGGGAACACACTCGTGTGTATGAGACGCTTCTGGAGGGAATTACACCCAATCACTCTGAACACACACTTCGACTTTCAGAAACACCAAACCAACATCTGAAATGCTGCGATGCCATTGGTCCGTTGGTTAATCCAGTTATCCAATCACAGCCTCCGCTGACACAAAGTCACATTAGGTTATTGAGGGATTTATTCAGTAAATGTGTTTCCATCATAGTTTATGTGCATGACCTCTTATTGAAAAAAACAAACAATTATCCACCAAAGATTTTTTGTGCACATTTTTAGAATTGATGTGCATCTTGCCGTTTCCATCCATCATCTTTATGCGATATGGCAAATTGAGAATAAAAATAGCTGGATGGAAACATAGCATAGCAACTCCAGAACCCTGTAGATCTCATAGCCAGGGTAGACGCTACATTGAATTTTACATGGATAGAAAAAGGAGACTTACAGTCTATCCAATGGCACACACTGTATAAAGGTCCTGGACCACTTGTAATTTTCACAACTCACAACTTTCAGTTTTTGGATCAACACAGTCTCATCCCAAGAAGTCATATAACTGACGTCTTGGGACGTCTTTTGACCATACGTCAATATCCGCCTTTTTAGGGTACCCTTAAACGTCGGTTTATGACGATCCTGGGACGTCATACAACTGACGCTTTACCTTTAACGTCAGTTAGGTGACGGGGTAGGTTTAGGGGTAGGTTTAGGTCTGGGGTAGAGTTAGGATCCGATAACGTCATCTAACCGACGTTTAAGGGTACCCTAAAAAGGCGGATATTGACGTATGGTCAAAAGACGTCCCAAGACGTCAGTTATATGACGTCTTGGGATGAGACTGCGCTGTTTGGATAGATGTTTCATTAGCTGAACAAACAACAGTACAATCCAAATATCCCTCACTGCATTTTCATTCCTGTCAGAAGTTTAATATGGCGCTAACCTGACGAAGGTCTATACAGTTCTTGACATGCTCCCAAGAACATTTATGTTTGAGAGTACACTGCTAGGCTAGTATGACCTATGTGGTCATAACTCGCGACGCTCAAATTACTTTACATCTTCAGACACTTATTTGGGAACCACCATCATTTCAACACAATCTAATGGAAATCCCTGACAATTTTACATTTACAACTATTTGTCGTACAATCCGCTTAGTCTCCAGTGATGGTTATTTTTAGAGATGGGCCTTCATCCTTATTTTCTTTCTAAAAAATCACATGTTTTTGTGTGATTCACATATGAAATAGCTACATTATCCAGTAAGATCGGGTTATTTTCATAATCTTGAAAACAATATGACATAGTGTATTTCTCTTGTGCTGTTTAACTTCAGTTCATGTTTGTTTGTACAGTGCTTTTCACCATACAGATCGTTTCAAATCAGCTTTCCAGAAAATGCACGTTTCAATAATACAATGTCTCCTATATCATATCTCAGGGTGTCTGCATAGAAAACTTCTCTTCCTCGTGGAGTGACGGCCTGGCTTTTTGTGCACTCGTTCATCGCTTCTTTCCCTCTGCTTTCGACTTCTCCTCCCTCAAAGCCAGTGAACGAGAGAAGAACTTCAGTCTGGCCTTCAGTACCGCAGAGTAAGTAGACGCTTCACTGCGTGGACACTATTAAACAGAGACGCATGGGTGTGTGAGGAAGAAAGAGGGACGTTTTTAGTCTGTAAATGCCAAACTCGTTCTCTCTCTCATATCTGCAGATCTCTTGCTGACTGCTGCCCCCTTCTGGAAGTGTCGGATATGTTACTGATGGGCAACAGGCCAGACCCGCTGTGTGTCTTCACATATGTGCAGGCTCTCTGCCATCACCTCTCGAAGATAGAGAAGGAGAGGAGGGAGAAAGAGACGGAGAAGGACACAAACACAGAAGAAGATCGAGGGGTTTCTGAAGCCAACGGAAGAGGAGACGGAGAGAGGGATGAGAGTGGACAGAACGAGGAGACGGAGGAAAACACATCAGATTCTGGCATGAAGACAGAACAAGAGACAGATCCCAATGAAAATGTTATAAATGTTGTGGATGAGAAACTCAATGAATTAATGAATGAATGAAAAAAGAAAGGAGAGCGTAAGAATAATGTATTGTTGTCGCAATCTGCTTTTGAGAATGAATAGTGTCTAATGTGGATGATCGGTATGTTATTCTTTGTTTGTATGGGTTTCATTTTGAACCCTTGGCTTTTACTTTTTGGGCTGGTTTAAAAATGTACATTTTGTTTGGTTTGACTTCCGTCTGTAAATTCAAACTCACCTCTACATTTCTGAATTCAGAAATATTACATGCTTTATGTTTTTATGGCTAACTGTAAATTCTTTAAGTTCAGTTACTTAAAATGCCTTATACTTTCAGTAAACTTAAAGGGAAAATTGAAGTTAAACAAGCAATCAGCTAAGAGTAAAGTAAGCTAACTCCTCCTGAGTAAATTAACTTAGTAAGTTTAATACTTCAATTTCACTTAATCTTAAATACTATGATTCTCAACATGGATTTAATATTTCATTTTAAGCTATGGAGGCTTAAAAAACTACATGCATTCGGTTTCCAACATTTCTTCAAGTGAAGTAAACTGAACAGACATCAGCCACCATATTTATTCCTTAAAATAATAACACTGCTTTGTTAAATTCACTGTTGTTATTAACAAAATAAACATATTTATTTCAGTCTCCGTTGAGTGTTCGCTTTTGAAGCCAGATTGGTTGTTGTCCAGGAGTTTGTTCTGTGCGAGAAACATGAAGATACATTATAAATGTACAAATATATATTTTTGAAGAATGCTTTTAATGAACAAGAAGGACATTTGTGTCATCATTTACTGTATCTCTAAACCTGGATATGACTTCTCTAATCATTAAACATGAGTTGATGAGTCATTAATTCATTCAGATGAGGTTATGTTCGATCATTATAACAGTAGAGAACATGTCTGTGTACAAAAACAGTAGACTGAAAGTATACTTACCCGTTTTTAGTTTAAATGAAGTATAGTAATAGCACACTTGAATAAACGTCTTATGGTAAGGGTTGTATACCGAGCATTTCACAATCCACACACTGCGTACTGCAGAAATAGTTTGACCAGTATCACTCTACGCTTTTTACAGCAGTGTTTCATAACTTGACATGTTATAAGATAGCCCTACCACTTCATATAAAGTCCATTTACAAACAGGCTGCTAGATTATTTAGTAATAAAGACATAAAGTTGGACTGAAAACAGTAAATAATATGTGGCATCATGTGAGAACTGATTCGGAAAGGTTGAAAGAGTAACTGATCTAATCGTCCACAACAACCCTAAAGAACAGAGTTTAATCTCTCAGGTCACACAGTGACTTCCTGAACTTTAGATCACGAACCCCATCCGAGGCGTTTGCTCCAGCCGAAGCGGTAAAGCTACTCGATGTGTTCTTCGGCTGGAGTGAGCGAGAGGAAGGTGAAGAATGAAGAGAGGATAATGATTACGCATGGTGCACGTGCTGCTCAACCCTAATGAATTTAAGGCTGTTGACACAGTAAATGACTCAGTGTCTCTGTTTCGTCCACATGTTCCAGTCATTTGGTGCTATATATATCGTTTGCACTCCGAGTATCTCTCTCAGAGTATCGTATTTCTCTGGCATGAAAGCGCTGGTGATCTGACGAGGTCCCAGCAGACGCCGGCTCTATCAGAGCACACACAGAGAGTCTCCAGCGCATGAGGTTAAAGTTCTGGAGTGTTTTGTATTCGTCTGGAAATATCGATTGATCACCTCAAGACTCAAAGGATCATGCAATCAGGATATGCTGGCAAGCCGGAAATCTGCCTTTGCTGGATGCTTTAATCATTGATCATTTGGATTTCCTTGGAGGATTGGGAACACTCAACCATCAATATCATTTCGCCATGGATTCCATCGATCCAGAATCCTCCAATTACACGGATTCAGACAACTACGCCTCGTCCATGCCAGCGTCGTCGACGTCCCGTAAGACCACGCACTACCGGGACCACGGAGGGCTGAGTTACGGTGTGGGAGTTGTGTGGACGCATCTCCGTCCCTTCATTCCCTTCTTCCTGATCTCCGGCCTGGTGGTGGTGCTGGTGTACCTGCTGCAGAGCATCGTGTACGGAGGGCCCTTCACCGACCCGCTGTTCTTCAGCAAGTTTGAGAAGCGCTGGCCCCCGCCCGACCAGGAGCCAGAACTCGGATCATCCGGGATCCTTTAAGGAAGAGAGCTTTTAAACAGCTACGGCCTACCAACAAAACCCTGAGAATTACAGTGATGAGACTGAGGATATAGACAAAGATTCATGAGATTGACCTCAATTAGTAAATTAGGGTTTTACGGTCCTTTATTTTGGAATGAAGGGGGGAAATGTATGCAAAGGATCAAGAGGCTCCAATGAAATAAATAGCTGAGAACTGATGATTTAATTTGACTGGACTGGACTCAGCTTTACTGCCTGTATACGGCTGGTTAAAGTCTAGTCAATCAAAATAAGCACCTGTGTTACTGTGATACTCGCAGACGCTTCCTCCAAAACGGCTGGTCGGACTTACTATTTAAAAACAAATGGTTTTACAAACTGTTAAAAAGCACTGGTATTATTTAATATGTGCCTGTGTGCAAAATAATAATGGGTTTTATTGTAATGTATAGTGCACAATACAAGCTTGGCAGGTTTGTTTTTTGTTCTAGTCAAGTTTTGAGTTTGATAGTTATTTATGCAGTCAATCAGAAACTCTCTACAGAACATGAGATGATGTGTTGATATGTTCTCATTTGTCCTACACTGACAGATAAACTTCCTCTTTTAAATGGAAGGTCAAATCGGCACACATATAGTACATTTTATGTCACAGTAAACTTTTAAATTAATTAAAAATATATATTTATGTACCACTGGTAACTGGTATAATTTGTAAGCCAATACCTGTGCTTGGTTCTACTTGAATGTTGTTCCTATCTGTGGTTTTAAGAGAGGCTGCTCTGCAGAACAAATGGGTAGAGCTCACGTCCAGCAAGGAGGAGCGAATGTAATCTGGGCCGAATGGGTGGAGCTAGAATATCCAACCACACCCACAACCCTATCCGTCCACCTCATTAGACGTCCAGAGAGGTGGAGCTAGAATATTCAACCACACCCACAACCCTATCCCTCCGCCCCATTAGACGTCCAGAGAGGTGGAGCTAGAATATTCAACCACACCCACAACCCTATCCCTCCGCCCCATTAGACGTCCAGAGAGGTGGAGCTAGAATATTCAACCACACCCACAACCCTATCCGTCCACCTCATTAGACGTCCAGAGAGGTGGAGCTAGAATATCCAACCACACCCACAACCCTATCCGTCCACCTCATTAGACGTCCAGAGAGGTGGAGCTAGAATATTCAACCACACCCACAACCCTATCCCTCCGCCCCATTAGACGTCCAGAGAGGTGGAGCTAGAATATTCAACCACACCCACAACCCTATCCCTCCGCCCCATTAGACGTCCAGAGAGGTGGAGCTAGAATATTCAACCACACCCACAACCCTATCCCTCCACCCCATTAGACGTCCAGAGAGGTGGAGCTAGAATATCCAACCACACCCACAACCCTATCCCTCCGCCCCATTAGACGTCCAGAGAGGTGGAGCTAGAATATTCAACCACACCCACAACCCTATCCCTCCACCCCATTAGACGTCCAGAGAGGTGGAGCTAGAATATTCAACCACACCCACAACCCTATCCCTCCACCCCATTAGACGTCCAGAGAGGTGGAGCTAGAATATTCAACCACACCCACAACCCTATCCCTCCACCCCATTAGACGTCCAGAGAGGTGGAGCTAGAATATTCAACCACACCCACAACCCTATCCCTCCACCCCATTAGACGTCCAGAGAGGTGGAGCTAGAATATTCAACCACACCCACAACCCTATCCCTCCGCCCCATTAGACGTCCAGAGAGGTGGAGCTAGAATATTCAACCACACTCACAACCCTATCCATCCGCCTCATTAGACGTCCAGAGAGGTGGAGCTAGAATATCCAACCACACCCACAACCCTATCCCTCCGCCCCATTAGACGTCCAGAGAGGTGGAGCTAGAATATTCAACCACACCCACAACCCTATCCCTCCACCCCATTAGACGTCCAGAGAGGTGGAGCTAGAATATTCAACCACACCCACAACCCTATCCCTCCACCCCATTAGACGTCCAGAGAGGTGGAGCTAGAATATCCAACCACACCCACAACCCTATCCGTCCACCTCATTAGACGTCCAGAGAGGTGGAGCTAGAATATTCAACCACACCCACAACCCTATCCCTCCGCCCCATTAGACGTCCAGAGAGGTGGAGCTAAAATATTCAACCACACCCACAACCCTATCCCTCCGCCCCATTAGACCTCCAGAGAGGTGGAGCTAGAATATTCAACCACACCCACAACCCTATCCATCCGCCTCATTAGATGTCCAGAGAGGTGGAGCTAGAATATCCAACCACACCCACAACCCTATCCCTCCGCCCCATTAGACGTCCAGAGAGGTGGAGCTAGAATATTCAACCACACCCACAACCCTATCCCTCCACCCCATTAGACCTCCAGAGAGGTGGAGCTAGAATATTCAACCACACCCACAACCCTATCCCTCCGCCCCATTAGACCTCCAGAGAGGTGGAGCTAGAATATTCAACCACACCCACAACCCTATCCATCCGCCTCATTAGACGTCCAGAGAGGTGGAGCTAGAATATCCAACCACACCCACAACCCTATCCCTCCACCCCATTAGACGTCCAGAGAGGTGGAGCTAGAATATACAATATCTAAATTAAACCTCTCCAACACACTTTTAGCTGGATTTATACCATGTAAAATTTAAATGTGACCTCTTTTACTTTATTATTTAAACAGTATACAGAAATACACCAAGCTTTATTCCAGTTTATATGTCTAAATACACTGGTCCACAATAAGCTTTTATGAGTAGCTGTTTCACCTGTTATAATATTCCTAATTTGTAACAAAAGTTATAACTTGTTGAGCTATGGTGGCAAATAAACTGCATACTAATTTGGTGTACCTGGAAACCCAAATTTATCCAAGAAATTCATTATAACATAATAAATTACCAAT